TGACACGAGCTTGATGTAGGTGTGTAAGTCGGCCAGTGGGTCCAAGGGCACGCCAGTGGGGATAGGCTCCGCGGACGACCTGTATGCATTGGATTCTTCGTTTTTCGGCCCGCAGAGTCGAACGCCGATACAAGGTACCGCGTCGGAGCGAGACCCGACGGGAGTCCAGCTATGCGGTGCATGAGCGCCGCTCTCGTAACAGGGATCGGTCAAATGTCGAGGAACAAGAAAGCACGCAAACATAAACGTTCATAAGTCCTCGCTGATTTCTTGCATCGGCGCTGGATACCCCCCTCCCTGGCGCGCGGAGCCCGCCAGGGACGGCGGCGGAGGCACCGCTACCTCCGGCGCCGATCCAACAAATCCATGCAGACCAAGAAAAAAGAGGGGTCGACTGCGCCGACATTGGCGCGTAGGTTTCCCGCGTGAAGTTGCGCATGCACCACCTCTGCTCCACGCGGCGTGCCATGCTGGCGACCCGCGTAAGCTGCGGCGTAAGGTCGCTATGCCAACGTGCGTAAGACAAGTTTCTTTGCGTCGGGTAGCAAGCAATGTTTCATGTTTCGGTCACTGTTTGTTCCCCTATTTCGTCGCTCATCTGTTGTTCCTCCAAAGCGGTGCTCAGGAGTGGCGGCGAAATCCGAACCTTCCCCTCGCCGATCACCGATTCAGGCAACTCGATGGGCGGCGGCGGTAGGGTCCGGAATTCGACGAGCACGTGGCAAAATCCGAGCCCCACCCCCACCTCCCATCGATTCAGAAGAACCGACGGTTGCTGGGGGTTCGAGTTCTGATGTCGCCGCCTACAGGACTGGCTGGCGGCGCGCCCGTCTGCCCTGGCCGCGCCTGGCGCCCAGGCGCTGGACTTGGGCACCGGCTCGGGCGTCGTCTCCCTCCTGCTGCGCGCGAGCCGCCCCGGCCTCGGGCTCGTCGCGGCGGACTTGTGCCCCAACGCCGTGTTCTCCGTCCGCGGCGAGGCGCCTCGGGCGAGCAGAGTGATTCGAAGAAGGATCTCACCGCCGCTCTCGTGCGATAATTCATCCTCCGGCGTCTGAGGCCTCCTGAGCACATGCCTTTACGGCGACGGTGGCAATCGGCGTGAGCGGATCGTGCTCCAGGCAAACGATTCTACGAAGAACGAATTTCATAAGCATGAAGCTTCGGCACCGATCCAAGAAATCCGCGCGGACCTCCAAAAGTTTGTGTGTTGTGCGCTTGTCCATTCTCATGATTTGCACATATCCGCGGACGACATTCGCATACCGGACCGCGGCGGCGACTCTGGAGACGTCGTCGATCCTCGACCCACGAATGGTACTGTGCACAGTTTTTCGGCCCTCAGAGCCGCGCTGGAGCGGGGCTTGAAGAGAGTTCGGACATGGTGCGGTGCATGGGCGCCGTCCTCGTAACATACACGAGGGAGCGCTTTTCACTTGCTCGTGGGCACGGGGGTCAGAGGAGGAGCAGGTACTGACACCGCCACCCTCGCCTTGTTTTCGCCTTTGTTGGGCCTCCTGGGAGGCCGCCGTCTCCACGGTTGGATTCGCTTCGATATTCTGGTCAGAGCGCACACTTGGAGCGGTCCAGGAAATAGCACATACACGAAAGAGCACTTTACATGTGAGCGACAAAAGAAAACAGGACTGATTGCGCGGAGATTCGCGTGTAAGCTTCCCGCGTAAGGCCGCGTGTTCGCGCCCTTGTCTCCACGCAGTGTGCCACGGTGGCGGCCCGCGCAAGCCGCGGCGTAGGGCCGCAGGTCGCTACGGCATCATGCGGAGGACCCGTTTATTTTCGTCGCTCGCGTGTGCGTGGGCAGGGGGGGGGAAGGGGCGGTTTCTAACCCAACGCGCCAGCAGCCGACAGCAATGGCCAGCGACGCTGTCGCCGCCGACGACGACCCTGGCGACGACGACGACCGTCGTCGACGTCGTCGGCGTTGTCGTTGTCGATGGTGTGTGTTTCTTCCCCCCCATCCTTGTCCTATCAACGAGTTACGATTGGATGTATGTCCGCCTGCCCGATTGGACATACGGCCCGTCGTCGTCGCTGTCGTCGATGCCGTCGTTTTCGTTGTTGTCGCTGGCGACCTCTTTCATCGTTCGTCGTTCGTTGTCGTCGTGGTTGGCGTCGTCGTTGTCGTCCTCGTCGTGGTTTGCGTCGTCGCGGGCGTCGTCGTGTTTGCCGTGGTGGTGGTGGTGGTGATGGTGGTGGTCGTCGTCGTGGTGATTGGCGTCGTGGTCGGCGGCTTCGCCGTCGCCGGCCGTCGCTGCCGGCTATGGCCCGCCAGGGGGAGGGGGGCACGTTGTCCCAACCTCTCACGTTCCCTGAGCTGAGCCAGGGGTGGGTGGGGCTGCTCGTAACGCCCCCCCCTTCTCTTGCGAGGGGGGGGGAGAGGGCTCGGAGGAGGGCCTTTGGATTTTCTTTGACGGGGGAGTCTCCTTTTTGGAGGCCCCCGTTATGGTTCCCCAGGCAAGCGAACTTAAAACGCGTTCCCTCACCTTCTGGGGAAATGTAAGACTCGAGTTCACCGGAACTCGTTTTTGCCGACGCTTTTTAAGACGGGCCCGTCCTGAATTTTGCCGGTCCAGTTTTTAGTGGAATGCCGAAGTTCGCCTCGAATTTCAGATTGGATCTCGACGTGTTCCTGACGGCCCCGTCAGGCCAACCCGAGTACCCCGAGCCCGAGTCGTACGTCTCTCCAAACTTGCACTGATCCTGTCCAGGCCCATCCTGGGCCCAGGGCCGATGCACAGATGCCTCTCTGGCTGGGCCAGGGGGGTGCATATGCGCAGATTCCTGGGCCCAGGAGGGGCCCTGCCAGGGTCGGTGCACGTGCAGAGTGCCTTCCCTCTTCGGGGATAAATGCACACGCCATGTCGCTGTCCGCTCCCTGTGGCGTCATTCCTTCTCTCCTCCTCTCCCTTCTCCTGGAGACCGTTCTTATCCTCTGGCGATAACTGGCATGACCAGGGGGGGAGGGGGCCGATCACGTCACGATTCGCGCTGGCGCCGTTTGGAAACGCCCGGGAATGGCTCATTCCCACACGGCTCCAGCGCGAATCATGACGTGACCACGGAGCGGGGGAGGGGCCGCTGGCGGGGGGGGGGGGCGGGCGGGAGGCGTAACCGCGAATAATAAAAACTGGTGCCTGTCCCTCCTCTCCCGAGGGCGGCCTGGCTACGTCGGGGTGGTCGACTCCAGTGCACGACATGCCATTAGGCAAGTCGCCTTCATGCTCAATTGTGTTGGTGGTGCCCCCCGTGGATTTGCCTGTTTGCCCACGTCGAGGACGAGTGGTTTGGTCTGTTCGCACTTCGTCCCCCTCAGCTATCCTCCTCCTCCTAATCAGTTGTTCGCCGAAGCAATACTGCCTTCTCTCTTCGAGGTGCTGCGAGGGGGCATGAGAGGCATCGACGTGGTGCAGAGTGACCTGTTCGAGGGCCTGGAGGGCCGGGGTCCCTTCGACGCGATCGTGTTCAACCCGCCGTGGATGCCCCGGCCGCCCGAGGACCCCGAGCGGCCCCGCGCCCGCGCTGGGGGCGACCTCATCGGGGGCAACGACTACCCGCCCGACCTGTTTGAGCCCGAAGGCGAGAAGCCGGTGCATGCAGCCCAGGGATTCTGCTTTGCCCTGGACGAGCAATGCATCTCCCACCGTCGATGTGTCTGTTTTCGTCGCCTTCGGCTTATCATCATTTTTGGCCTCCCGGGGCCCTTTTCGGCCCCCAGACGGTCAGAAACGGGCCCGAGGACGAAAACTACTCCTGGGGGAGTCCCCCTGACGTTTTTGTCGACACGACCTGCAACAGTTGTGTTATTTTGTCCAAGGGAGTGTAGACCTCCAAGATGGGGTCCGAGTAGAAAGGGTCGGAGCATCGCGTTGTGTCGCCGATGCATCGGCGATCCGGCTCGATGTGGAGTTCGAGTTCCTCCGCGCCGGCTTCGCCGATGCATCGCCGACGTCGCCGATGCATCGCCGATGCGTCGGTGGTGCATCGATGATGCCGCGCGATCCTCCGACCCCATCTACTCTGATCCCCTCTGAGGCCTCTAGACTTGCAGCGTCTTGAAAACATCAGGACAAATACATGTTGTCTTTTTGGCCTCTCGGGGTCCTCGCCGGGCCGCGGGACCATCCAACGATTCGCTACTCAGGGCAAAAGGCCGGCCCTGGGGAAAGACAGGGTCGGGACTTCTGGAGACCGCGTACCGAAATTATCACGACACCGCATGCTTGGGCATGAGCCTTCGAATGCCCGCGCGGGTTTCTTGGATCGGCGCTGGAACTCCCCCCAGCGCCGCCCCATGGAGCGCTCCGCGCGCCAGGGAGGGGGGACTCAGCGCGGATTCACGAAATCCGTGCGGCGGGCCTCTGGCTTGTATACCGGTTTCTCTCCTTCCGCGAGCGGCTTTTTGAGGGGGCGCCGCGCTTCCTCAGGCCAGGGGCGTCCTGACCGACCCAGGGTTCACTTCGACTCTTCCGATCCGATTCGATTCGATGTTGATGGTTTCCGAATCCGATTCGATTTGGCTTCGGCTTCCGATTTGGATTCTGATGTCTTACAACGGAGGCCTTACTGGCCTGCCGATCTCCGCCGACTCGACTTCCCCCGACTTCGCTGCCGAGTTCTGCGGATCCGATTCGCTTCGGTTGCCGATCCGACGAGTCGATTCGATTCTAGGCTCTCCTGCCAACCTCCTGGTGGACCGACTCCATTATGTGACGACCCCCCCCGCCTCGCTCCACGACGCGGGCGCGCGGCCAGAAGGGGAGCCTTGAGGGCGGGGGTGTCGCTCACGAAAAGGGCTCGTCATGGGAATCGAAGACGACCAGAAGTAGACGAACATCGATTGTCGAAGGCCTGCGATGATTTGTTGGATTTGCGCTGGACCCACCTGGCGGCGCCTCCAGCGCCGCCCCCTGGTGCGCTCCGCGCATCAGGGAGGGGGCTCCAGCGCAGATCCGAGAAATCAGAGCGGGCCTCCGAACGTTTATGTATGTTTATGCGCTGCCTCGCCCTTTGTGCTTTGCCGAAGGGCATCTCATTTGTTTGGAAGGAGATGGTGTGTGCCAGACCGGTCCGCCTTCCTCGGGTTCTTCTTGGTCGTGGTTCCTTGGTTCCTTCGCCTTGGTTTCTTGGCTTATTTCTGCCCTCCTCGGGCTCCTCGGTATTGCCTCCTTGCCCGTGGAGGCTCGGCGGCGGGTGTCGCTTGGGGCTCCTCAGAGGGAAAATCGGATCGGTCAGGCCGCGCCCGGTGAGGCCCGGCGGCCGCTTGCTGCTGCTCTTCTCCGACTACGCGGAGCAGCGGGGCTTGGTCGACCGCTCGCCCCTGCGGGCCTTCGCGGAGGCCGCCGGCGCCCGGCTGGCCCTCCGCGGCGTGGAGCGGCGCGCCGTCGCCGTCGAGGACCGCACCCGCAGCCGACTCACGAGGATCGGAGAAGAGACGAAACTCGAGCTTTCGAGCTTTCGAGGTTCCTGGGCCTGCTCGTTGGTTCTCGGCAGTCTTCCAGCCTCGGCGTGCTCTCCAGCAGCGCCGATGGCGTTCCAGGCATCCCCAGACCGTGCCGGACGGCCGCTGGAGACCCGAGTGTTGACCCGAAGACCACCGGAGGATGGGCTCGGGCGGGGAGGCATCGGCCCTCAATCGCCCATTCATCGCCGGCAGAGGTCCGATAGGCCCATCATGGCCTATAGGTGATGTAACGGCGATGATGTATCGCCGATCCGAGCTCGGCTCGAGGTTTCGCCCCCTGAGCTGGTTCCCCCTGACATCTAACTTTCGGAGCTCCGCGCGGCTTCCTTGGATCTGCGCTGGGGCCCCCCGGCGCTGCCCTTGGCGCCGCCGCCGGCGCGTTCCGCGCGCCACGGGGGGGAGTCGGCGCAGATCCGAGAAAACCGCGCTGAGCTCCGAACCGTTTCAGTTTATGCAGTTTGTTTCTCCTCCCGAGGATGGGCAAGCCGTGGGCCGCGGAGATCGGGAGGGCGTCCCCTGACCGTCTCTGCACGATGAAGCAAACGGGTCCTGGGGCTTTTCGCTGTTTTCGGGCTCTCGCGGCCTTCCCAGGGCCCCACGGCCGTCGGACAACGACTCGTGATGAGGAGCTGGTCCCAGGGAGAAACCAGGGGGTATCCATGACCCCGTTTCGGCCAGGACCTGTCTCCTTCAGGCCAATACCGATCTTGGCCAGGCCGATCCTGGGCCATGGGTCGATGTGCATCGAAGAAGGAAGAACGGCGCAGCAGAAATTATCGGAGATCCGCGCGGATTCGGCGCTGGACGATGGACCCCACAGCGGCGCCGGCATTGGCGCGCTCCGCGTGCCAGGGACGGGAGTTTCATCGCCGATCCATGAAATCCTCGCGGATTTTCGAAAGGTTCAGGATCGTGTTGTTTGTCTCTTTAGCGTGTCCTCTTTCCTGGTCAAGCCAGGAGGGCGCGCACGCCGATCCTGGGGCCAGGATCACCCCTGGCCAGGACCAGCGAGGTGGTCAGTCGATGTCCTCCGAGGAGAGAGAGCACTCGGTGGAGCTGTGGGAGTTTGAGAGGCCAGAGGCGGGCTAAAAACGAGTGTGCGCTCGGCCGCACTGCGCCGCGACCGCGCTCCCTTCTCTCTGCCGTTTTCTGTGGCGCGGCCAGCGCCCACCCGCTGGCAGCAGTAACGCTCCATGGGGGCGCAGGCTCACGAGGATCGGAGAAGAAACACTTTGAGCTCCGAGGTTGAAGATTCGGGGACCTTGTCGTCGGTCATCGGCAGTCTTCCAGTCTCGGCATGCTCCAGTGGCCTCGCGTCGCCGAGAGCGTTCTGGGCGTATCTTCCCGAACGGCCGCTGGAGACCCGAGCTATGACCCGAAAACCATCAGGGGAATGGCGGACCTACCTTCGCCATCGCCCCCCGCACGCTATCAGTGCCTCAGTCCGGGTTCAACATGTGCGGTGCAAATAGTTTTAGCCGCGTCCGCGTGTGACCGCCTCCAATGCTCGGGCAAACATCTGCCCACCAACCCGCTCGGTCGAGAGTGAAAATGCTTGTCGTAACATTCTCGTTGATTTCAACAGGCGCAATAACGCGATGCCCTTGCTCATGCAGATCATGTCTCGGGCGGGTGAATGATGATGGTGGCCACATCGGCGGCGACGACGACGATTATGATGAGGATGTTGGTGATGACGTGATAGTATAGTGATGGTGATGGTGATGGTGATGGTGATGGTGATGGTGACGGCGATGATGACGAGGGCGACGACATCGACAATGACGATAGTGACGACGGCATTGATGATGACGACAAACATGGTGATGATTCCAACGGCGATGATGCTGATGATGATCTTGTCGATGATGATAACGATTCTGCGGACGAGGATGATGAGGAAGCACCCGAGCGCGCAGGAATTCCAAACATATATGTGCGGGGATTGAACCCCTTGACTTGTTCGTGTGTTGTCGATGGTACCTCTGTGGCGGCACGACTAGACGTCAAATGGTGTTAGAATAATTTCGACGTGGGCGCGCGGAGGCGCGCGTGCGTGGCTCGCATCATTACGTTTGACAGTTGGCGGGTGCGTGATGATCGTTGAACATCTTTGGTTGCATGCGCGCGCGCGTGTGGCCCGCACGGCTTTCTTCGACGGAATGGCCAACTACTTTGTGAGTTGTGGACGATGTCTTCGAGGGTGTGCACGCAGAACTCGGGCAACTGATTGGTTGAACACAACTAGTGCGTGATAGCTGTCGAAGCGCAATATCCTGAAATGGCTAGGACATGAATGGTTTTGAATGAGTTTGACTCGCGCGCGCGGTGGTGCGCGCATGTGCCCAGTACCGTCGGAGGTTGGGGGGTGAGATCGCAGTGAAGCGGAGACCCCCCACCAGGAAATCGGTTTCGGTTTCGTGTTCGTGTCGTGCGTGCGGGCGAGGCGAAGCTGCGCGTGATCCTCCTGTAGCTAGGCCGAAGTAGGAGCGAAAGTCCGTTTCCCGTCCGCCGGTGGCCGGGAGGGGTCCCAGTTGGGCCGGGCGGTGTCCCGGGTGTCCCGGGTGTCAGTAGGAGCGGAAGTCTTTTTCCCGTCCGCCTGTGTCTGGTAGGTGTCCCAGTTGGGCCGGGCGGTGTCCCCGGTGTCCCGGGTGTCCTGGGCGTCCCGGCGCTAACGCATGTCGGTAATTTCAGAATTCTTTTTTTGCGGCGCCTGCGGCGGGCTTTTTTATCCAACCCAGCTCATCTTCTCCAATCCATCTTGTCCAATCCAATACATATTATCCTATCCAACCCATATTGCCCCATTTTATCTTATCCCACCCAATCCAATCCACCCAGCCCGATCCATCGATTCATTTGTTTCTGCGGTTGCGGCGGGCCAATTCAATCCATCTTATCGTATTCATCAATCCATTTCTTCCACTCCAACCCATCTTATCTTATTCAATCAATCTTATCCCATCCAATCCAATCCACCCAACCCAGTCCATCAATTCATTTTTGTCGGCGCCTGCGGCGGGGTTTCTTATCCAATCCAGCTTATCTTACCCAATCCATCTTGTCCAATCCAATCCATCTTATCTTATCAAACCATATTGTTCCATCTTATCTTATCCAACACAATCCATCCAGACCACTCCATCAAAGAGAGAGATGAGATCAAGGTGACAGGCTGGAGGTCAGTCAGGGTGGGCATCTGATTTCATTTTCCCCAACCTCCTTACCGCCCGCAGGGCGGTCGTATAGGTATAGGCTAGAGCGTATCCTTAGAAACACTACTTCTTATATCAACGCATGCGCACTGCATAGTATGTTGTAGGTGGCGGGCAGGACGATCGATATCCGTCTGGCCAGGATCTATGTGATTCTTAGGATGAGCGACCGTGCATAACAATTATGGAAAAAAGAACTGCGACAAGGTACGCGGACAATTACAGCCTCGGCAGGGGTGAGAGTGTATGCAGTTTCTCTTCGGAGAAGAAATCCGTGTTATGCAATGCATAGGATGCAACATGCGTGCACCCTGAAACGCCAGCTAGTGCACGAGCTGGCCACGAGGCGGCCATGAGCATCCACCAGGCGAAATCCCAGAAGCTAGCGGACGGAGCGTCCACAAGTCGTTCACAGGTGCCCACCAGACGAGTAGTCATAACAAAACAGCCAGCGCACGGGGCGGCCGCGATGCGGCCAGGGGAGCCAAGAGATGTTTTTTTGTCATCCTCGGGCGCGTAACGGTCGTTACCCCCCCCCCCCCTCCCTGACGTGGGGGGAGGGCCCGGACACCCCCCCCGCATGTTGGTGCCCGAAGGGACGTTGCGCTGCTCGCAGGTGCACTCACTCAGCAGGCGCCTTGCCCGTGCTTTCAGGCTTGCGCGGGCGATCGAATCCCAGGCCCCCGTCGTGCTCGCAGGCATAGCGTGGTGTTCGCGCGCGTACTACGGCGATCGCAGCACACCCCCGTCCCGACGCGCCCCACCCCGCCCGAGCGTTACCTTCACCCGGGGCCCAAAGAGCCTCCACTGGTAACGATTGTTACGCGGACATACAAGCCATCTCCAACTGGGAGATGCTTTGGAATATTCAGCAAACCACTTACAAGGGAGGCGAGAATCCCACCGCGCAAGCATTGTGTTCCGGGCCTCGGACTTATACATCTCCACCGCCTGCGCGATCCACCCGAGACCCACCCGCGACCCACCCACAAAGCTTTGACGAAATTGAGGTCGTGTGCTGGGTTCGACGCCTGCAGCGGGCTTCAACATTGCGTTCGAGCATCACCGGATGCAGATCACCCCGCCGGCCCCCCACTCTTCTCCGCCGTCCCCTGGGCTCCAGTTTGGGCGAGCTAGGATCGAGGACCGAGGATCGAAGCTTGGAGCTCGGACCGTGCATGGCATTTCCTCTCAACCCCCCTCCGCCGCCCTTCCAATCTGCGCCAGGCCAGAGGGGCCCGCAATGAGTCCCCAATGGCACGAAGCCCATATTTCCTTTCCGGCCTGGCCACGCCCCCCCCCCCGCCATGCAAGTATACGTGCTGGAGTCTGAAGAGGATCATTTTCGTTTTGAGGATGGGGATCGAGGGGGTGGCCACGCAGCCGACGCCAGCGGTAGCGGTGAGGACGGGCGCTTGTGAAAAGGGCGGCCGTGAAGAGGAGTCGGGGCGTCCAAGGTCGATACTTGATTTGCAGGCCTGTGACCATTTCGATCTGGTCGACTCGATCCGATGCCGACCTCGGGACGATCCGATGCCGCCCGACGCCTGCATGGCGTCGCTGTGCACCCTGGCGCAGCCGAGCCGATTCGCTTCCAGTTCCGTGCCGATGCGGCCGGAGCTGATGCACACTCCAATCCGACCCGACTCGCAGATGCGAGGCCGACGGCCCCTGCCTTCGCCGCCCGAGCCCCCCGCGCCCGCGCCGCGCCGCCTCCACGAGCTGCGGCCATGCATAGCCGCCCGTATCCGCGCCCTCGCGGTCTGGATTCAGGCTCGCGATCCCGCGGGTGCGTTGTCGCAGGGATGTTTGCCGTTCGGTGACAAATCGCGAGTCCATGTGTACCTTCGCAGTTCCATCTTCAGAGTGCGTCAGCGTCGATTGGCGTCTGGTGATCGATGAGAACGCGCCGATCGCCGATTTAGCGTTGATTCGTCTAGGTTTAGTGTCGATTATCGCCGATTGCTGTCGATTCGCAAGGGCCAACAAGATAGCATGGGAGGCCCCTTGAGTTACCACAGAACGTGCCGCGCGAAGCATCTGCGAAAAGAACGCCCCGTATCCGCGGTGTCACCCAGGGGCCCGGCCCACGAGGCTGCGGATGCGGACATGTTTTTGGCCCACGACGTGTGCCCATCTCGGTGGCACTGATGCGCTGCGTGCCTGCTGCTGCCACCGCCGAGCGACGCGAACGGCGCGGTTCCACGCGGCGCTCTCGCGCCGCTCCGCTGGCGAGGGACCGCCCTCGAGCGCATGCCGCGCGTCATCTGGGTTGCCGCCCTCGTTCGCCCACGACCTCGGCTCGGCCAGCGCCCGCCGGGGAGCGCCGCCGACAACCCGTCGGTGGCGCGCCGCGCGGGCCCCGGCGCTGCCGCGAGCGGGAGGCCTCGGGCTGGAGGACCTCGGCCGCCGCCGCGCGCGCGGGGGGAGCGGGGCCGGCAGGGGTCTGCCCCGAAGTGGGACATGAGCGACATCAGCAGACGGAGTCGACAGCGTCGACATCCGCGCGTAAGCTTCCCGCGCAAGATCGCGCGTAAGCGTTCTGCCTTTCGCAGGGCGTGTTGGGAGCGTCTTGGGGCATCTGTCTGGGGAGACTGCTAGGGCACTCTAGGGGCCACCTGGGAGCTTCCTGGGGGCCTCTTGGAGGCCTCTTGGGGCTTCCTTGGGACTTCTGACGGCTTTTGGAGGCTCCTTGGGAGGCTCTCTGGCAGTCTAAGGACGTTCCTGGCCCGTGAGGAGCCGTCTCGGGGGCCTCTCTGGGCCGACTTGGGGCCCTCTTGGGGCCGCCTTGGAGGCCATCGTGGGCGTCTTGGAGGTCTCCTGGGCCGTCTTGAGGCCCTCTTGGGGCTGTCTTGGGAGCCTCTTGGGCCATCAATCGGGCCATCTCGGAGGCCTCTTGCGCGCACTTGGCATCTCGGCCCGTCGTCGAGACCTCTTGGGGCCATCTTGGGCTCTCTTGGGGCCGTTGTAGCCGTCTTGGAGGCAACCTTGGCCGCCATCTTGGGCCCGTCTGGAGCGGAGCGGGAAGACCGACGCCCTGAGAAGTTCACAGGTCCCTATGGGGCGGACACCCGGCGGGGTACATTTTCTTTGGGTGGCTGGGGCGACCGGTCGAGACCCCATTGGGAAAGTTAAAAATACCTTACTTGAACGTTTGGCGCGCCGTGCACCCCTGTGGCAAGCCAACAGGGGGCGGCGGATCCATCGGCCTTCGAGGCCTCTTGGACGCATGTGGGGAATTTTTGTGGAGGCCTCTTGGAAGTCTCTTGGAGCCGGTTTTGGGGTGACTCTGGGGCCTCTCGGGTGCCTCACGGGGGCGTCCCGGGAGCCGCTTTGGCCCTCTTGGGGGCCTCCTGGAACAGCTTCAAAGCTGGAGTGTGGCTCCTTTAAAACATGTTGCTCCTTAGCGCCGCGCACATTTGCTTTCAAAGTTTGCAGCGCTTTCAAATATCCGTATGATCCAATCCAAGGAATTGCGTTCCGGCACGCGGTGACTGTGGAGGCGCTCGTACAGCCGTCTCAGCCGCAGCCGTGGGCCGTCAAGAGGGCCCCGAGATGACCCAAGAGGGCCGCAAGATGGCCCAAGAAGGCCCCAAGAGAGGGAACACGAGCCGAACTTTCGAGCCCTCTGCCCCACAACCACCGAGACCGCCAGCAGGCCGCATATATTTAAGACGAATGTGCGCGGCGCTGAGGCGAGCACCCCCTTTTGAAAAGGAACCGCCCTCCATCCTTAGAACTGCTACAGACTTTACAGTCGAGTGCGCGGGCTCAGGCGAGAACAACCTTTTGAAAAGGACCTGCCCTCCACCCGTGAAAGTATTGTAAATGTTTAAGACGAATGTGCGCGGCGCTGATGCGAGAGCCACATGTTGAAAACGACCCGCCCTGGACCCGTGAACCTGTTGCAAATTTCAAGCTTCAGGACTAGCCTGGCGTCATGCCTGGCCCGCCCACCAACACGTCTGAGGGTGCGATGTGTGTCAGTTAGGAGCTGTTCATCAGGAGCAGGGATTAAGTACGGAAGAGCAGAGGCAAAAGACGAAGGAGGGGGTTGCAGAGGAGGACAGAGGAGGAATGAGAAGGAAGAGGGATGAGAAACAGGAGGAGGAGGAGGAGGAGGAGGAGGACCGAATTGACGCCGAAGACGCTGACATGCAAGTGGTTTCAGCTTGTTTAGCCACCATCCAGGTCAAATTCTGGGGTGGCGTCCAAGCGTCCCCCCTCCTAGACCCAAGCAACCACGACCTGCCCGAAAGTGGGGACATGTCAAACACGTCGTGGAGGATGATTGTAACGAGAGGCTTAGGTTTAGGATTTGCTTCAGGTATCAGCTCGCAGGGCAGCCCCCTGATTAGACAAACCCTGCACTCAGTATAAAGCTTCGGGATACCACCACACCCACATTCGCCACATGCGAGTTTTTAGGGGAATCGCATGTTGCTCGAGGTGTGGTGGATGGAGTAATTCTAGGTCCTTCAAATTACATCGCGAGTGCGAGCCAGCGACAAGCACAGGTTTGAGAGCTCGCAGCCGTCTTTCAAAAGGACTGTTACCACAGGGGTTACTAAGCTGGCATTCGCTTCTAGTGGCTCGCTCCCAGGAGGACAGCGCGAGAGCCGTGGGAGTCCCGCCACAGCGTATCACTTGCTCAGCTGCCAGTGGGCCCTCGGAGTGCGAGGTCCCCCCATTTATCGCTGGCAACATGGCAACATGGAGCAGGAGGAGGAGGAGGAGGAGGAGGAGGAGGAGGAGGAGGAGGGAGGAGGGAGGAGGAGGAGGAACAGGAGGAGGAGGAGGAGGAGGACAATGGTGAAGGAGGAAGGAGAGGGACGAGGAGGGATCTGGAGGAGGAGGAGGAGGAGGAGGTGGAGGGGGAAAGGGATGAGGAGGGAGGAGGAGTAGGAGGAGGAATGAGGAGGAGCAGCAGCAGCAGGAGGAGGAGCGAGGAAGGGATGATGAGGAGCGGGAGGAGAAGGAGGAGGAGGAGGAGGGGGAGGAGAAGGAGGAGGAGGAGGATGGGGGAGGGGTTTTAGATTTGGATTGGCTATCTGATTCAACCGTTAACTGGTCAGAGGATAAAGTGGCACTCAATTTGCCAAGTGAAACCAGAGTTGGACCCCAAACAGAGCACCGCTGGTTCTGGTTCAGGAAAACAACACTGGTGTGGACAGTCGGCACTGGCGCCAAGGCAGAGCTCTGAGAGCAGCACAACGGAACCTCAGCGACGAAGCCGACGGGACGCGTCGTCACGAAGCGCCAGGGCTACGTAGGGAATGAGCAAACCCTGCCGGTATCCTCAACGCCCCGCCCTCCTATGCCCCTCACCTCCACATCAAGCAGCTGAGCGGGCATCGGCTCAAGGAGTCGACAGATGGCTTCAGGCAGACACACTGGCATGAGTGCTCCTACAGTCCTGCAGGAGAGACCACCTTGGCTTGGGCGCTCGGCCATTCGGGAGGGGGAGGGAGGGAGGGAGGGGAGGAAGTATGTGGCGAGAGGGAGGGATGAGGTTGGGTCTCAGACCAATTGCCTCTGGCTCCTTTCCTTTTCCTATGCGCGACCAGTATGGCGAGCACACGTAAGCTGGCCGGACGCCTGGACGAAATACTGTCATCGAAGCCAGCGAGTGCGGACCCAACTTACATTGTCAGCCGTCATGCTCGATGCCGACTCTGGTGGTAGTGGGAGCTCGGAGTGACCTTCGCCCCCCAGCCCGGTACCAGGGACGAGACGACGACGGTAACAACAGCGTTTCGCTGCGCACTGAAGCGCAGGAGGGCACTACAACTAGCCAGCAATGCGAGACAATTCGGCTGGAGGGAGGAGAATAACGAGACGGGTGAAGGTGGCTGGGACGCAGACCGAGAACCTCCAGATTGTTTCGACCTCGGACCTCCTCTACTGAGCACGCACTCGCCCCCTACCGGCACCTGCGAGCGGCGACGCGACACATCAGCAAACACGGCACACGCCCCTGAGACGTCGAAGCGCCTCTCATGCATTGGAGGGGGAGGGAGGCGGAAGGGAGGGGGGGGGGGGGCGCACATGAAAACCCTCACCCGCTCCATCTTCGCCCAGGTGCCCAACAAGAGACAGTGTTGCGTTTGCCGCAGTCACGATCAACGTAAGCACGTACGATGGTCTCGTTAGTGAACAGAGGTCTTGCTCAGAGAGAATGCGCTTGTCGCAGCACGCTTTTCGGTTCCACGGGCGGCGGCTCGGTCCTTTGGCCCCCGCTGAAAGCGTTCGGGCCAGGTGCTCGGTTCGGTGGCGGCGGCCCAGCGCGGGAATGTCAAGCCGCCATGCGCTCAGCGGAGGGCTCGTCCACCCGTCGCCAGCAGGCTACATGAGGAGACGGCCAACACGGCGTCAGCTGCAGTCGAGACGAGAACGTGGTCGAGCGCTCAGGGTGTGTCGGCGTCCACCCAGTGCACCACCCAGCATGCCGAGCAGGAGCTGTTGGCACCACGGGGAGCTTTGCGACCTCCGCTTGGGCCTCGGCGCCGCGACGGGGCGTGGGGCCTCCGCCAGTCGAGCAGCCGCGTCGTGGCGTCGAGGCAGCGCCCGCCCATTGCGTCCGCCTTGAGCTCCCGCCCGCCGCGCGTGCTCGGCCGCCGACTGCCTATCCGCCCGCCGCTCAGCCTCCGCTTGCAGCGCAGCCTGGTTCTCCTGAGCTCCGAGTGGTTACTTGCTGCTCGGTCGCCGCAACGCGCTCGGCGTCCGTCAGGCGAGCGACAGGATGGGCCTCGTCCTCCGCCTGCCGATCGGCCACCTGGGTGGCGCCAGGGAGCGTGTCTCCAGGGGCCATCTCGCAGGCTCGACGGACTGGGGCCACGCATCACCGCGCGCAGGCAGCGGCCTCGCAGCCGCGGGAGGGGTGGCAGTTCTGGCGGTAGCCGTGCTGGGACTCACGCAGGAGTATCCGCGAAGGCACCTGCGAGCTCCGACGGCAGGGTATCCTCGGCAGAAGCAACACCTCCTGGGGCAGCGGCCTCCTTGCCTGCACGGCCCTGACTACCCAGCCCTTTCCTTCCCCCCCCCTTCGGGTGCTCCCCAGGGCCCGGCTCGGCCCGCAATGGTGCCCGCCTCGCGACAGCACGCCCGACGCCTCTGGCCTGTGCGCCTCCGGAGGGTCAGCAACAGCCGGACACGCAGCAGGGCCAGCGCGAGGTGGAGCCAGATCCTCACAAGCAGCAGGAAGGCATGCATCAGGGACCGCATGAGGTAGAGCCAGAGCACCAGCGCGAGCACGGTGAGCACACTCAGCTCCCAGAGTGCCATGATCTGGCACCGCGTCGACCGCAGCAGCAGGGCACCTGGCCTCGGGCAGGGGCAGCTCTGAGGTCGCAGCGCCACGTCTAGGAACACGGGCGGGGTGCCATACCATCAGGCTGCGCACGGCCGGCGCCTGCGCTTGCGCATGCCGGACGGCCACCGTGCGCGCCTTGAGGCGGCGCTTGCAAGCAGCGGAGGCCACACCAGATGGGCGGCACAACATGTTGCAGAACATCAGCATACAGCCATGGCAGGGGCACGGCTGGCCCACGACGCGTTCAGACATCGGCGGGGTCGCCGCGTCTGGCAGCTTTCACGATGAGATTTGCAGCTCAGGGGAGCGGCTCCAACCTCGATCCAGGACGGCGGCTGAGGAGGGAGGGAGGGAGGGAGGGACGGACGAGGGAGGAGGAGGAGGATTTCCAGGATTTCCGCCTTCACGTAGTGAAAACTAGGCTTGAAGCTCAGCTCTTGCACTTGGGAAACAGGCCGCGCTCGATCCTGTCGAGATATTCGCGCCTGGCCTTCGAGATGGGTAATTTGCACGGTTCCGCTAGCCCCCTGAGCTGGGCTTGACCGAAGAAACCGCACGTCGCAATACCACAACTGAAGGTCTTTATGATAAATCAAAGCGTGAGTGGGATGGGTCCAACCCCCAGCCAAGTGTAAACGCCGTCCTCTCGGAACACGTGCGATCTGACTATTCACATGCTGGAGTTGGAAGCATTCACTTTTTAACCATTCCGCTAACACCGCTTTGGTCGAGGAGCCCCTACACACACTACACGCCCTACCACTTTCGGTCAGGGAGGGGGCAGACGCGAAGCGTGCAATGGCGATAGGAGGAGGGGGAGGAGGGGGAGGTGGGCCAGCTCGAGCTGAGGCCCCAGCTTCCCCCGACACCTGGGCGGCCTTGATAGAATCCAGCCCTACTCGCAAAAGCCTCCGCCGCACCAACAAGGCTTTGTGTTCGATGGACATGACACGGTGACGACTGGCCTGGGAAACCCGCGCGTGCGCGGCCGATTCTCCAGCAAGGACGTCGACGCAAGCATTGCCAATCACAAGCCAACTCGGTATCCCACGGGCGAGGTACTCCCGCGGGCTGAGGTGCGAGGTCACCTGCATGATGATTATACTGGCAGGGTGCCGAGCCTGTCGCAAAAGGAGCTTGCCGACCTCTCTCCAAAGGTCGGCTTGCGGCCCCTCAGGACGACGAAAAAGCTCTGAATACCACCCCCTAGCCACTTCAGCACAGTCTGTAACGTAAACGATAACACCTACCGAGAATCTGAGAGCCCAAAGGAACGCCAGAAGCTCACCTCTAGGAACACTCTGAGAGGGCCCAGGGAGCGGCCCCATCAAGAAAGGACCTAGGGTGGGTGGGTCGCAGCTCCTAACATTCGCAACGGCCAGGCCTACCCTACGGAGCCTGGAGTCGTGGGTGTCTTTTCCCCCCGACGCGTCCCCAAACAGGACCAGGGGCTCCCTCGTGGTGCCTGTCCCCAGACAGCCCTCCTCCAACGAGCCCCCAAGCCAATTGCCTCCGACGATGGCTTCTTCGGGGGCGGGAGGAGGGGCGGAGGTCCAGGGGGAAGGGCTGAGGCCCCGCATCCAAAACCACGGAAACGCCTTGGACTCTGACACAGCCTGAGTGATAAGATCATTCGAATCAGCATAGGCCTTGGACGCAGAGCTGGCGTTTGCCTCGCAAGTCCAGCACCTGTGCAATGTTGTCTCTGGACCTTGCCCGCACCGAAGGCAAACTGAAGAACTGCATAGGTGGGCCTGGAAGCTCCTCTCACGCGTCCAGAAACCTCCCGTGGCAATAGAAACTAGCAGCTCCGATAGCTGCCTACCCTTTTTGACATCCTGCAACTCGAAAATCATGGCCTGCAGTGAAACCATGTCCACTCCGTCAGCGACTCCGTCGCCGCAGAAATGTGTGGCTGCTGCCCGCCACTGCTGAAGCTCCCTTGTCCGCTGAAGCTCGTCCAGAAGGGGCTCTGCCTGATCCAGGGCCTCGAAATCGCTCCCGTGAAACATCTACGAATGCGTCAACGAAGATCCATCATGTGGCACTCCCCATTCCGTCGGAGAAATCGGCTTCCAACTCGCTTCAAGTAGGTACATGATGACAGTCGTCATGGGGCCGCGCACGTGACGTGCGCGCTGCCCCACTGGTAAACTGGAAGGGTGATCGACTGCCCGCGGCCAAGCCCGCATGATGGCTGGCCTGATCTGGGAGTCGGGCAGCCACACACTCAGCCATTGCGACAAGCACTGCCGCGGCAGACGCACTCCAGGATCATGACCTGGGAGTCTGAGCGCCAGCAGCGCCGTGAGACACATGCCGCGCTTGGCTGACCCCGCGGCAGCGCCAAGACGACGGCGCTGTGACTGCATCACCGAACCGAACTGCCCGTACACGTGGTGCCCGTAGACGGCGGCTGCCTGCGGCCCCGCACGCTGCAGCTTGGCGGACACCGCCCAGCGCCGAGCAGCGTGTGCGTACTTCCGCAGCCGCCCGTGCGTCTTGCTGGACTTGAGCGCCCGCTGCCTGACGGTCGTTCGGCCGCGCCGCCTGCCGCAGGACAAATCCACCCCGAGGTAGGCAGTCTGCAGCACGGCTCGCAGAGTGACGCCCTTCCTCTTGAGGACGCGCTCGACCACCTGCGCATCGCTGCGGCGCGAGCACAAAACAACACTCTTGTCGGCAATAGCCAGCTGCAACTTGGAGAACAGCCTGATGGTCGAGCGCACTCCCTTGATGAGCGTGGACCTAACGTGCTGTCTCGAGCCCATGACCCTCTGAGATAAATCATCTATCCAGATTCGCTCTGATAGTGAAACATGCGCCTGGCAGGGGCGCTGGCACACGTATGCTGTGAGGCACTTGGCAAACCTCGTGCCGTTCCGCAGCCCTTGCACCACTGATCGAGTCACCTGGAACGGCTCGCTGAACGAAACGATCTGCTCCAGCATGCGCGGCGCCAGGCAGATCTGAAGTTCCAGATGCAATATGACAACGGGAAAACCTTTGCGCATGGCACACAAAGTCAAAGGTTCCCACTCGATGGAGTCGTAGAATGACGCAATGTCGACCACCGTCTGACCGTGCGGTATGTCCAGGCGTGAATGGACCTCGTCCTGCAACGCCCGAAGGAACGCTTCCCGCAGGGCGCTGTTCCCCGCGATGGCGGCGCCCCAGTGGTCCGTCTCCGCCTGCAGGGCGGACCACTCCTTCATCTGCACCTCCCTGGCCATGGACCAGACACGGCACAGCATCGCGATTAAGCCGATCACTCTGTCCCCGCCCGACTTCTTGCCTAACAGCTTCCCCACCACGCACATGACCTGCCATGGCCATGAGAGGCCTTCCTCGATCATGTGGAAGAGGTCGCAAAGGCACTGGGTGCCCTCGTCGGGCAGCCTCTCTATGTCGGTCGGAGAAAGCCTGTCGATCCCGAGGCCTGCCCGAGCCTTCATGCGCGCTAAAGCCGCACGAACATCCGCAACGTCCAGTGGGACGAGCTGCTCCACCTCAGCTCTGCTCCTGGCCGTACTCATGGTAGCCAGGACCCCATCCCAAGAGGCCACCTCGGAGTGTCACAGCTTGTGATAGCGTAGCACCTTGCGGTCCACAATATCCATAGGATGAACTCTAACCGAGCCATCGCTGTCGTGGAACTCGTCGCGCTCAGGATCTGGGTCCTTAAGCGATCTGAAAACTTGCCCCTGGGAATCAAGGCTGCTGAACCAATGCTGAAAATCCTTCAGAGACGAGGCCGCAGCACGATTCTGCGCCCTCTTGGACGCTCTGAAAGTCTTCTCCTCCAACATGCTGAGCTCGTCGACGCTGAGCTCGAGCAATCGCCTGAGCCAGGGGCTGAGCTGAGCTGAGCTCGTCGCCTGAGCTCGACGCTGAGCTCGAGCTAGAGCCCCTGCCAGGAGCCGAAATGCGCAGGGAACGCTGCGCCTGCTCCGTCCACTGGCTGGTCTGCCAACCTGACAGAAGCCGACGCTAGGTAGCCCAGCTGCACGATGCCGTTGTTGCGCCTCCGGTGTCGTAGCACTCTCTGAACAATATTGTGGATCCTTGACCACCATGTTGAAATGCCGTCTCGCAACGGCTCTTGACGAATGTGCTCCGCTTGCCTCGCCGACACCACCTGCAGGTCGCAGCCGCCTGCCCTAGACCGCTCGGGAGCTCCGATCTCGTGATGAGACGAGATGGCTAGCTCCGTGGCCTGGACCCATCGCGAGAAGGCCCCACTGATGGGCAGAACATGCCGTGCGCCAGCTTGGAAAGCGAGAGACTGCCGAATAGGGGGCCGAACATCGTGAATAGAGTGTGCAGTCCAAGGGGCTTGAGCCAAAGCGGCTACCCACGAGGAGGGGGACATAGAGAAAGACGGGAGAGGAGCAGGAGAGGCAGCGGCACCAGCACGGGCGAGGTGATCGCTGACCCCCTCCAGGGGGCCGTCGTTCCGAGGACGCTCGGCTGGGGGGGACAAACCATTACCTTCACTCCGAATTGCTGCTGCACCCCCAGACGCCGCCGACGAAGCCTGTGTCGCCTCGGGCGCGCCTGCAGGAGGGCTGCTTAGAGATTCCGAGACCCGAGGTGCGGGCTGAAAAGAGGACTCGTTGGCCCAGGGGTCCTCCTCATCAGCCTCAAAAAGCCCCTCGAAGCCTTCATCCCCAAGAGGATCGACCTGCGACGAAAAGCCCACGGGGCCGCCAGCCGACGGGTCGAGAGGCTCGGGGGAAGACGTGCTGCCGAAAATGTCACCGCACAGCAACTCACATTCACTAATCAGACGCTCTTTCTTTTTCTGAGCTCGCTCAGCCTGCTCGAGCTTCTTCGCGCTCGACTTGGACCCAGCCGTGGGTGCTGCAGACGGCCTGGGCACTTGCGG